GGGAATTTTGCACACAGTTGGAGCGCATATATAATATCTTAAAGTATGTATTATGTATGTATATATGTTTTTAGTACGCTCATTGCCGATTTGCCTTGCTGTAGGCGGCATTATGCTAATTAAAAAGTAATGTTCTGAAATTTCTGTTTGTAGATTTAGACTTTAAAGAAGAAAAGAAATTTAAATATTAACAATAACAGTAAAAAGTAAATTTTTTTAACTTAGGCAACTTTTGCTTTCGGAACGTATATATTAACTAATTAAAAAATTTAAATTAAATTTGTTGAAAACGCACTGACTTACTAAATACTGAACTCTTTAATGGACTCTAAATTCCTTTTTCTACGTATTTTCTAAATCTAATTTATTGTACTTTTTTGAGGCAAGTTGTGGAATTAAAATTTCAAACGATTTGAGCATTTCCTTGACGATTGGTTAATTTCGGATTTTTATGATTTTCTTCGCCTATAATGACTAATTTTGATTAATTCTATTCTTTATTTTTGGGCAAAAAAATAAAAATCATAAATAATGATTTTTTTATTTGCTCAAAATAAAACTCACTTCACATCATCACATTTATTGTTAGTCCTTTTGTAATTAAAAAAAAGAATTTAATCCAAGCTTAATTTAGTAAAGAATCATTATTTATAATTTTTATTTGTTTGCTTAAAAATAATAACGGGTGAAGAAAATCGTAAAAATCTTTATTACTTGATTTACAAAATAAAATTTATAATGGTTACGATCTTCTCAAAATAGTGATGTTTTAAAATTTTTTTTTTAATATATAGACACACCCTAATGTGAATTTGAACATTTTTTTAAATTTATTTTAGTAAAACTTTTGCATATTTTTCTTCGTGCTAAATATATAAAATTTGAATTTCTACTGAAACAAGAATAAAAATTGCTCCATAAAGTATTTCCAAAAAATGCAAGCTTTTACAGAAAAAAAAAAATTAGAAGCGAATAATGTCAAAACCACAGCATTAAATAAAAAAAAAAAACATTTTACCATGTGAATACTAAATATAGTATCTATAACATATCAGTGAATGCAAATAGTCAAGATTGCAAAAGAATTTCACCCGAAATAGCGATAGTTATCAACCACCACCACTTGCTACGCACCCATGACCCGCGCAACTAACCACCAACACGTCCCTCGCCAGAAATAGCAACAGCCAAACTCGCACCCACCACCACCAAAATGGCTATGAATATAATAAGGCTTATGGAATACAACAAGTCTCAACGAATACAACAAAACCAACATGCCGCAACATCCTCACTGACTTAACTGACAAACTATTGAAGATTACACTAAAGCTTATTGCTGCAATGCAAAATAACGCTTTCAATAAGCTCATCAGCGGTAAAGCACTAGCGGTGGGTGGACATACCTATATTTATATATCTTCCCATATACATACATACATATTGTTGTATTTATGTAGGTGAGCGCAAAGTGATGACCGATCAGTAAGTGGCTTTGAAGAAAAAATTTCGCCATAAACGTTTTGTGATCAAACGCAAAGGAAGTCATATTTTATATATTGATTAGCTTGTTGCCGGCGGGGGGAATGGCTACTGGAAGCCACCAACAATCATTTCCATTTCCAATAATAACGTCAACACCTGATGCAATCGTCTCTATGAGCGGTAAATGACAGCAGCTGTTTGCTTGTGGTGAGCAAATACGTGCGAATGTATGTAAGTACGTATGAATGGCAGTATATATACAATAGTTAAACACTGCAAGCAAAACAAAAAGTAGGAATAATGCAAAATTACTAGTATATCAAGTGACTTGTCAAGTTTTGTTAGAAATTAATCATCGCCATTGCACAAAGTTGAAATTTAGCTGTTCGCGGTGGCGATGAGCGCACGCTTCGTGCGAATTCCAGCGATCGGCGGGCACAAAGGAAATATATGCATGTACATTTTAGATATTTTGCTCATTGATGGGCATACTTAGGCACATGGTAGCTCTGCTAGTATGAAGGCAGTCAGCCAGTCCAACTATCCCAAAAGGACGGCAAGGCAAAAGCCATTAGATAATTAAAGCGCTTGCGCGGTGGCGGGAGAGAATTAAATATAAAAAAGTCATTTCTGTGTGAAATGCACCCGTTAATGCACAAAAATAATAGCTGATGTATTTTTATTTTATATTAAATAGTTGTACAAATATCTTTGCTTCGCTTCCTATTTTTATTGTTAGGAGACTTTTCAATTCATTACTCGGTAGCGTTTGCTTCGCTAATCGAAAACAAAGAATGAAATGGGCAAATAAAATGCAATAGTTTTCTCGAATGGTATACAAATTTACGCGAATTAATTAAGAGTTTGAAATATGGTCCCTGGCAAAGCCACGTTTCATCCATAATGTAAAATATGTTCGTGCTTCACATCAGCTTTATACAAATTAACACAATTCTCTTGCTAAGGGTTGTACTTGATTAATTTTAAACATTCATACAACTTTTATAACTTTAGAACATTTATTTACAACGAACTTTCAGCACGGAGGCCATTAAATATTTTGGAATAAAAGAAATATAAATATTTATTACTCATAACTATCAAGATTTTTAAATTTGTCTAGCGCAAGGAACTTAAAAATAATTCTGTTGTATGAGAGAGAATGCATTAATGCTTTGACTTCCATCCAGATCTTTCTATCACCCGGTTGAACAGAATATACAATACCAACTACCAGAATTTAAAACGACAACTCTGGATATTCGCATATCCGAATAAACCTGATAAACATATAATTATTAACCAGATGTCAAGCTCCGTAAATTCCACCGACTATCTCAGCGGATATTTGGATAATTCAATATTTGTGTGCTTAAATATTCGTGCAAAGGAATTATGCAGTTTCACTTTGACAGTCAATTTCTATATTTGCTGAATTTTTGACCAAACATCTTATTTGAATTAAGCAGAATTCATTTAAAACGCACTTATATTCATTTTTATAAGAAAATAAAGAACTTTTAACCAATTCGAATGAATTTGGTACCTTAGACGACATATTCATGAAGTGAACGTGTTGAAAATTTCATAAGAACAATTCCATTCAAAATATTAACGAATAAAATATACTAAGACACGATAAGTTGGTTTGACAAAAATCGATAGACCTGTATAGCCGTCATTTTAAATAACCATTATAATATATTTTTTAAATTATTATATATATGAGTTATACATGCGCACATTCAAAGGGGCTGAAACGTATATGGCTATTTATGTACATATATATCCTTTACAGAATATATAATATCAATCCCCGCTATTGTGGAACATCCCAACCACATCAAATACTATAAATATTAAAATGTCTGCTTTAAGTTTTGTTGTCCAAAGTCTTCGATGGAGACATTTAGATAAAAAATATTATAAACTTGATTTAATATAATTTTATTTGACATAACTGATATATTTACTTTATTATAGATATTTACTGATTTAAAAAATTGGTAATAGTAATGTATTGTAATTTAATAGTAATAATGCAATATTTGTCACTAAAAAATAAAATCTATTTCTGGGTTTATTTTCTTTATATAATTATATGCATAAAAATTATGTACTTTATTTATCTAGGTAACTCCTAAACTGCTGAACCGATCTTAGTTAATATATCAATTTATGGTGGCGAAACTATAATGGTGGGAGACTATAATATTCAATATATTATACACCATAGCCAGGGCAATGCGTGGTCGAATCTTGCAGTATATAATAATATAATATTTTTCCCCATTATTTCTATAATTAAATTTTTTTTTCAAATCTCAAAAAGAGTATAATCTACACCATATTACATAAGTAATTTATAAGACTAAACTTAGAGCATATTTAACGCCTGCGTCATTATCGTAAAAAGCGCCATAAAATTTCACTAATAAGTTTCGCTGTTTACATTAATTTATGAGGCAACTTTAAACAAATCGTAGAAAATACTTTTAATAAGCTGAACGAATTACAGTAGTCGTTTAGTCGAAATGATTTGAAATATTATATTTGTTTTTCCATATTCCACTGCATAATCACCATTTCTAATTGGAACGTTAGTTGCATAATAATCGTGCGGATATACATATGGAGGCCATATACATATATATGGCATAACAAACTATAAAAATATAATAGTTATTTTTATGGCCAAAAATGTAAATGTTCCACTGTACTCATTGTTGTTAAAAAAAAAGCTTAATACTTTTTACTGTGTTATATTTTAAGTTAGAACTAAATGTAAGCCTTTACTGCAGTGCGCTTTCAATTTCTATGGTATAAGTTTAGTGTTAGCATTTATTTTTTGTAGAGTCTAAGTTTTATGTAATCTGGAATATTCAACGATTCTCAACGATTTTTCGCTTTTAAAATTGTGTTACTCTGAAGTTATGTGTATGTTTCGTTATTTATTCTGGTGATGATCTCTGAATTCTCAAAAATAGTTTGTGAACAAAACAAGATGTATGTAGCATTTTACCGAATTAAATTAAAAAAGTAATTTTTTGATTATCTGGAATCGATTTTGAAAACATTTAATTTTTTTAACATTTTATTGCTAATTTAATTTTCTTGTTAGAAAATACTATAAAAAATATGTGAATGTGGAAACCAGAACCTACTCCAAGTCTTAACCAACACTCTATTTTGCCGGTATTTTCACCAGTAATTTGCCAAGAAGTTAAAAATCGAGCAAGAGTATGTATAGCAATCCCTTTGTATGTTGTAAATATATAAAAATTATTAAGAGAATATAATTGTGTTTATAAACACAATAAGTTAGGAGAGTTGCCATAATTTTTCGTTGAGAAAACTTCTTTCAGCCTATAAAACTAATTAATTTTTTTTTCAAAAATTTAAAATTAAATAGCAGCTTAAGAAATTTTAACAATGCAACTGCAGAAATATTCGGTTTTATAATTTTATAAGCAATAACTATAGTATTAACAAAAAAGTATTATCAATGCACTTACTAATTGTTTAGTGTTGTTTTATCCTTAATGCACGTTTGAAAATGTTGACAGACTTGTTGTATTCCTTATGTACTGCTGATCCTAGTAAGCTAATGTAATGTAGAGGCACGTAGAAACTCCACCAAAAAGAAGTTTGGACTGCGTTGTTTTTGTTTTTTCTTATGTTTTTGTTGTTGTTGTTGTTGTTCTTTTGTTCTTTTTATTAAATAATGTACATATGTAATGTAGTCGCTTGTTCTTAAAGTTAAGTATATATTTATGTGATGTATTGTAGTATTTAACAACAAATAGTATAAAACTAAAACAAAACGGTCAATGCACACAAAAATATTCAAACAAATGTATAAAATTTCACTAAGAGAACACGTTGATGGGGCTTTTCTTCTTTTTCTGCTTCTTCTTATTCTACCAATACGCTTTGCTTGCTTTGCTCGTTTAATTCACAGTTAAATTTCAAACAACACGAAATAGTTTAAAATTTACTTGTAATTTATAAGTTTCTACTTTCTTGTTTCAATAATTTGTTCTATGCTTTAATATAATTAATTTTTTTATACACAGTATTTATTTGATTTTCTTTTTGTTGAAAGGTCAATACTTTTTCGTAGCACTTTGAACACGTTCTTCATATATTCCGTCCACTTGCAGATTTTTTGAACAGTTTGCCGTTTTGCTAATTTCGTTGACTCTTAAACGTATTGATTGCAGACGCGAACTGCACGTTGCCACGCGGCGATCACACGAAACGAAACGCGAATCTGGAACAACGAGCCGTACACACACAACTTGTACGAGGGAGTACACGTCACGGATCGCCGAGCAATGCCAATGCAGTGAGTGTGCTCTTTAGCTACCGCCGCTGCTTCTCCTCGAGTTGCTCGTGTTCGTATGGCGGCGATGGCTGTTGCTAGCGCTGAACTTTGCTAAGTGCTGTGAATGGACCTCGTTGCACTTGGCCGTCGTTGCAAATATTTTCTCGTGTTAATTACCGATTTTACTGCTGCACTTAATAACTCTCTTTCTTGTTTCGTTATGCGACTTTCTCTGCATTCACCACATTCACGTTAATTATTTTTTGTATTCTTTTTGCCAATTTACTTTTCTCTAATTATATATTTTCTAATAAAATTTTGATTCACTGCAATTCGTTTGTGCTGACCGTCGTCAGTTTACTGCCTTCCTGCTCCGGATACTACTTATTTGCACACTAACCGACTGAGTCGCTCGTCGCCGTACTAACACCGGTTGTCGCATTCAAATCTCTATGCGAGAGCAACAACAGCAACCAATGAATCGGATGCACTTTCTCGGCTCGTTGCAATCGGGTGCAATGCAAAAAAATGCTTCGTTTCGCAGCGTCAGAGTACGCGCGCGCCAGGGTATGCTGCGTTTCAACAATGAACTGATCAAAATTCAATATGTAGTGCTGTGCCGCCGGCTTGGTGGGGCCGGTTTCCGTTGTAAAGCGTCGTAGTTTGGCGCGATGGCCACACTAGTAGTAGTTATGGTGGTACTGTGCTAGTGGTCGTGGTGGTGTTGGTGAGAGCGTATTTGCGCTCAACACGAAATGCAATCGAATGCAACGATGTAATTACTGCTGCAGCGCCGATCTTAGACCGACGAATATTAACGAATGCGCTTAACCGTCGGCAAAGCTGATGCTAATACACGCAAGTGTTGTTGTTGGCGATAGCAAAAAAGCCTGCACTTACGATCACTGCTGTGATTAATACGATTATGCTATGCTGTTGGTGTTGTTGTCGTTCTTTTTGTGCCTTAAACAGTGACGTCCGCTATAACGCGTACTCCTCGAATCTCTGCTAGTAAAGGCGTGCAGATAGCGTTAGTGTACGATGCACCAATACTAATGTATGCACAATTCCAATGCAGCTTAAGTCACGAACTTGCAACGACTGATTCTAAATCGCTCAAGGTATCTAGTCTCAGTGCAGTTTTATTTCATTATATTCGCTCTATGTTGTTGCAAAATTGCAGTAAGCGCTTAAAATGCCGGCGAGAGAGCGTGCACACGCTAGAGTGGGCGTGTATACAGTGAGCTTGTGGAGCTTTGCCTTTTGCAAAAGTTGTCGTCGAACTAACTATCTCGAGCGCTTGTTGCTATGTAATTAAAATTGTTGCTGCTATGGTGATCGTAATATTTGCGACTCGAGTTCTAAGTGCGTTGTACTCTCTTAAATTTTTTTTTTTGCTACTTTTGCACTTTTTACCGCCTTTTATGCTTTGCTACAGTTGATAGCTTAGAAAGTGGTTGTATTAGCCGCGTGTGCTGGTGGCACTAAGCAACTTAGCAAGCGCTTTTCTCCAAGCCGGTCTCCTTCTTCTCTAGTTTAACTTCGTTTTTAGTACAAGTTAATTGCATTTATTAATTGTTAACATTTATAGCTGAAATCAAAATGCCTCATGAAAATATTGAGTTGTAGTAGAAGTCAGTTCGAAGTTCGCAGAGAAGCGAGCGTTATCTTTTTTGCACTTTTTCTAACTGTAGGCACACAATAATTATTTTTATAGCAAAAATCAGCTGTTTCTACTTCACTCACTCTTTTCTCAGTGTAAATTATTGGTTGGTTTTGTAAAATAATTTTTACTGTATTTTATTTCTGTTTTTTTTTTTGCGAAAATTTAAGTTGTTTTTGTAGTATTTGTTGCTTTTATAGCAAATTCGCATGCACTTTATTGTATGTATGCATATAGTCACTTCTATAGATTTATAATAGCTGTGTTATCATATTTAGTAAAACAGTCAGATTTCTTTGTTCCAAGTTTTCACAACCTTTGCGTTGCCGTTGTAAGCGTTTCTCCACAAATGTACAGCTAATCCGGCGTTTCTATGTCTATGGTAAGTAAATGGGTTGTGATTTGACGTAACGAAATCCCAAGTTTATTGCTTGTTTCTTATAGATTTGTGTTTGTTTGTTGTTTAATAAAATATTGTTTGTGATTAGTGTCACTTTTTTGTTATTACTAATTTTATTTAAATTAATTATTACTTCTTAAATAATTTTTATTTATGTAATTATTATTTTTTAGTTAATAATTTTAATTAACTAAAGTTTTAATTTTTATTTTTTTTTTCAGTTTCTTGTTTTTTTTATTATACTGCGATTGTCACTTTGTTGCCTGTTCTCACTCACTTTAATTCAGTTTTTGTGTTATTATTATTATAATTTATTTCTTGATTTACTCTTACTAGTATATTTCACACTTGCATTTGTGTTTATGCCTCTTGCTTGAGTCGCTCACGATCTTCAAGTATTATTTTCCGCACTTTTCGCCAATGTTTTCATAAAATTATTTAGGTGATTGGCGCACGTCGCGTCATAATGCTGCATTTTTTTAAACAATCATTACACGCACTTGGGGGTACAGAGAGTAAAAACTTGCCGAAGCAAAAAATGCAAAAAAAAAAATATTTAGTTTTGAAATATTTTTAATTTTATTTGTATTTCTTTTCACTAAAAGCGTCCATTAGCGCTTAAAATTAGCGGTAAAGTATTTTTTATTTATTTTATTTTATTTTTAATTGTTGTTTGTTTAAAGTGTTTTTCACAGTCTACTTTTCACAAATTATGTGTTATCAAGCACTCAAAATATTTTCTGCCCACACGAAACAGTCTTTAAAGAGTTTTACTTGCGCACTCGTAGTTTTGAATGTTACAGTTTTTATATATACTTGTATTAAATGTATATGGGTTTAAATTAAAAAAAATTAACTTAAATGCGCGTACTAATATTAATAATAATTAAAATTAGTTTAAAAACTTGTATGTATTTAAGAAAAAAGCGTAAAAAAGTTTAAAAATTATGCAAGCTTCAGTTGAAAAACTAACTTAAAACGAAGTCACTAAGGCGTAAGTAGTTTGAAAACTTATTTTACTTATTTAAGGTGGTAAATTATTTATTGTAGCAAAATTTTTTTTGGAATTTTTGCATTAAAATTAGTTTGCTAATTTTCCACACCCGCTGTTGCTGCTGTGTTATGTAGACTGCGAACTGCGAACTGCCAATTTCGACTTTTGTTGTATTTGTTGTGCAAATTTAATTTATTTGCTTAATTACTCGTTTACTGCTGCATTGATGTTGTTGTTTTTGAAAAATTAATAATTTTTGTCTTGTTTTAAGCTGAGTATACGCGGACACTGTTGTTTGGCGCTGCTGCTAACGGTTGTTGCAGAACGCTTATAACGGTAACCGAAAGTTAAATAAATTTCCGATTTTTTGTATTTTAATTTTAATTTTTCAAATCAATTTGTTTTCTCAAACATGAAAATTGCGCACATTTCCCTCGTTGCGTGTTGAATTTGCGTTTTTGCTGCCGCCAAATTGTTGTTGCCTTCGTTTTTGTTAATTATTGTTTTAGATTGTGTATTTTTGTGCTGTTAAATTTTGAAAATTTCCGATTTTGTACTGCAAAATTGGAAACTTTTTTGTTTTAGACAAAAGTATAATTGTGCCCGTATTTTGGTTGAGATTTTATCCAATTGAAGTTGTGAAAATTTTTAGATATTTGTGCCTGCGATATCTTCTCATCGTCGTCCGTCCGCGATACTGTGGCTAAGTGTAGCGGTTGCGTTGATGTCTGATGTTTTGGCTAACCACTCTGTCTCATCGACGACGACGCTTCTAGTTAGTTCTTGGCTCAGCCTCGGCGCTTCTCTACCGACAAAAAGTCCAGAGTGCTAAAAACAATTGCTTTGGTAACGATAAAAGAGTACCGGAGTGCAAAACTGCCAAACTCACTGAGTGAATGAGCATGTATGCAAGTGTGTGTGTGTCTGGCTTAATTGGCACCGGCGGCGATGGCGTTTGTCGCTGCAGAAATATTGTAGCGCAAAAATGTATCTGAATTCCTTGTCTTCCTTGCCTGAGTGGCTGCTGGCTGGCTGGCTGGCTGTTTGGTGCTGTCCACACTATTTACCCTTACTTTTACTCTTAGCCGTATACCCCTCCTCGCATGTACGGCGTTGCTGCACTCACCAGTATGTATGTATGTGCACATATTTTTTCTTCATTTCCTCGCTACACACATTTTTTGCTGTCGCTGCCATGGCTGCCGGAAAGCTTGCGCTCGCTGCTCTCTCATCAGCTGCATTCGCTGAGAGTTGCATTAGTGTGAGTGCATTTTGTCTCGACCAAAAGCTAAAGTTTATGTGTGTGTGTGTGTGTGTGGCGGGCATGATGGCGTTCGCATGTGTGCGCGCGATTGCCGGTCTCAGCATGCAGCGCTCTACAGTTTCGCCAACCCTTATGCACATATACAATTAAATATTCTTGCTAATTGTTTTTGCTGTTGTTTTTCAACTTCCGTCAGGGTATTGTAGTTCGTCTATCACTTTGTATTTTCAGCTAAGTTTGCTAAATTTAAAATTTTTGTTTTGCTGTTCTCTTCCGTAGCTCGTTACCATCCACAGAGTTGCATTTTGCACTAACACATACACACGCACACACCTAAGCAGACACCCATACAGCCATTCGTGCTCACTTGGACAGCCGGTGCAGCGAATCGAGCTCACACTTGAGCACTTGCGCTGAGCTACTACTCAAACTACGTATGTATGTGTGTGTTAGTGCCAACATTTTGTCGCGCCGCCGCTATGTTATCGCTTTTGCGGCCCGTACAGCGTTGCATTGCTGCTTCTCAACCTCTCACTTCCTCCATTATTCCTAAACTTTTTGGCTTGGCTTTCTCTCGTGCAGCCAAACGCTGGCGAATGCAATTAGAGCCGCAAAATAGCCACAACAACAAAAGTTGAGGCAAATTTGTTGCTCTTCCAGGTTCATAACACGAGTCCACATCCAAGGCGCAATGGCTATTTTCGACTCTCGCATTTTTTTTTTTTAGGTTTTTTCCAAAGCAAATCTTATGCATTGTAACTGAGTTAAGTACTCTTTTCCGCAGTTATCTCATTTTTTCTCCATTTCATTTCTTTAGTGGCCTCTACGCCATGTCCGTCCGTTCGTGCATCTTACCCTAAATTTTTGTGCAGTTACTAGCGCTTAAGTATCGCCATCAGATATGCCTGTAGAACATTTCAATTAACTGCATTTTTTAAAGATATTCGCACTGCCTCTCCACCCTGCCTTTCTGCCTGCCTGCCCGCAGCTACCTCGGCACACAATCGCTCTACAATGCTCTTCTTCTGCCATTAATTAACTTTCGGCCATTCCTGACAATATACACACACATACACAAGCAGTTGTTATTGTAGCGTGTGTGTATTTTGTGCGCTTGGAGCGTCACGATAAGCGATAAGATCTCGCATGATTTGCCTAATCGTTTCCCTCTAGGTCGCCACAACACTGTAACAATGGCAACACCGCCTGACTGCTCCATGTCTTGTTGTCACTTTGACTGATGCCTTTTGTTGTGCGGCGAACAGGTGTGTACGGTATGAAGTCATACTGATGAAAATTCATCATATAGTAGTCATAATATGGCATTGTCATCACTGTTATAATCTCTTCCAAGTGAATGATTTAATAAACTGTTAGCTTTTAGACAAGTTTATTTATTTCTCAAAAGCTTTATTTAAAGAGCGGTTCATTAAGTTATTCAAATGATTCAGAATGGAATATTAAAAATCATTTTGATTTGAATACCATGATTTAAATTTAATAGCATTTTTTGATTATATGTTATTTTAGATATATTGACTTGTAATCTAGGTAGCATTTCCTAAAACACCAAAATAACCCAAATTTTTCGGCACATCTTTATAAAGCCAGCAGGCTAAAAACAAATAACACAACACATATACAAAAAATAGCTTGGTGAGTTGGAAAGATTGTTTTAGATGTATCATTCGTATGTGGTTTACTAGAATTCGTAAGGTTCAGATGAGCTCCCAAGTTGATAGTGATTCGTGCGTCCAAATCCTAGTTCCTATCAAAATGGGTGCCACGAGTGCTCAGAATCGACCAATTACGGCTTACGCATCCAACGCACTCTGCGGATCAGGGCCCGGCAACTTTTTCATGTTCTCAAACCCCAAGAAAATGGGCGCTGAAAAGAAATCGCCGAGACTGACTCCTACCAATATGCAGATCAATTCGAGTGCTGGTAATACGAAGATTACTACAGTCAGGATATAATATGTTGAATAATAAAATTGGATAATTCCAAAAAAATCATGATTTTCTTTAAAACGATACGAACTTGTTAGCTCTCTTGCAACGAGCCCAGCTCAGCCGTCGCGGTTGTGCATATTGACTGTCTTGTAGTTTTTTTTTGAGGAAGAAAATTTCAAAGATTTTTCTTGGAACATTACAGTATTCATGATCTTAATATTGTGCTTAGAGCACACCGCTATAAACTATTGCCTATGATTCCTTCAAACTGTGTAAGACTTATACATCCGAAAACCGAAAAAATAACTTTTTCATAAACCTATTTCTTGGTAGTCAACGTAAGCATGTTTGAATTTGAAGCCCATGCATTCGTAATTTGAAATAGGCAGAAGCGCTACGGGCACACCCTCATCCGCAAAAGAGCAAATATTGGCAAATAACCTAACTGTTTATTTTATCTGTCTAAAATATTCAATTTACTTTTATATTCAACTACTAATTTTGCTAAATAAAAATCAAATAAATTTATGTAAAATCGTGTATGCCAATAAAATGCATAATTTATACACGAGTATAGCGTATGCTGCATAGCTACCAACATACTTATGTACCACTGGGGAGAAAATTAAACGAGGACACACGTCTGTTAGTGCCGGCAAGTACCCCTGCACCGCTACTGTGCCGGTGTACCGGTGTGTCGGTATCAATGCAGATGACGATGCTGACACACAAGATGACCATCGTTATTTTGTCGAAGACGAATCCTGTTTTCATTCCCACAGTTTTCGTTTTGGTACCCAGCGACTTACGTCGACATATCCACATAACTACAAACATATGCACACCGCATCGCATCGCATCCGTCCATCTATTTGATATAATAAAATGACATTCAACACTTCGTTTGGCTAGTCGGCACCGCAGCGCCGCGACTCAGATCGCGAATCGAGCAACTGCCGCTCCACAAACGAAATGTACCCAAAAAAAGGTACAAAATCGCAAAAATAATGCACACACTAACAACAACAACGAAATAATAAAGTTTTTTTTTCTTACAACATAGGTTTTTTCCATTTTATGTGGCGAATCTACACCGGCGGCGGAGGGAGGGATTGTCACAAGGACTTGTCTGCATTCGATTCTTACACGTACACAAGGCGAGCGTGCGGCAAAATCAGCTTGTGTCAGGGTGAAGTGAGTGTGCAACAGACTCGGCATGTCGTGGAAAGTGGTGGCATGCACAGGCAAAAGGGATGTTGCGGATGGTCTATATTGTCCAGCATTTGCAAAAGGATTGTTTGTGGAAAAATTGCGATGGTACGAGCGGTGATACGGATGTGTGTCAAATATTGTTGCATGTACCTAAGATGTCCACATATAAATGATTGATTCACAAAATTTTTCGAATTTGCTGCAGTACCACATTTCTAGAATTTTAAATTTTCGGTCCTAAAATTATATTCTACTAGATTATGTCTTAGATTTTGCACTTATACAAAATAGTTGCATTTTTAAAGCTTTTAAAAATCCGTTTTTTACCGTTAATCGTTATTTATATTCAAAAGACAGGTGGCAACACCATAAGCATATTTATGTAATAACAATTTCTGAATTCTCTTCATGCTATGTATCTCTTGAATAACGCCAACTAAAATAATGTTAAAAGGTTGCAACTCAGCTGAATTTCACTTATTAAAAATGCATAAAATTTTCTACTCTCTACTCTATTTAATATATATTTCGACACAATTTATTTTAAATACAGTTGGCAACTCCATACAAAATTTATTATACCTTGAACACAGGGTATATCAAGTTTGCTATAAAAGTTTGTAACAACCAGCGTGACGAGCTTGGTGGATTTAACCTTGGTCCTGAACTAGTAACTCAGTTTTTGAAATATTGATCTGAAATTTTACATACATCCTTATATCCTCATGAAACTGGTTTATTGATAGCCGATATGAGACCGAATTCAAGTCCTTATATGGAAAACTCTTTTATTTGTCATGAAATTTTGCATAGACTATTATCAAAGTACTTAATAAATCTCCGAATAAATTGTTCAAGCATGTATATAGCTGTGTAAGGCAGCCTGACTTATCAAAATCAAGATAAATATCCTTTTATACCCTTTCAAGCTATAAGAAACTCTTGTATTATAGCTTCGATGCAAATAAATTCAACGGGTTTTCTTGTTTTTTTAACTTTTTACGCTACACTAATTTACTCCTTGAAAACCGGCGAATAGTGTGAACGTATTATCTGCATTTTTATACTTGTAAGGCCGGTTCGAGGTTTGACATTATATACAGGACTATTTGTTACCTACCCTTAGAGATGGGTAAATCTATAAGTAGGATCTGATTTTGACTAGTTATATTTTTTTTGTGATGTTTTTCCGGCAAGTTGAGTATATTTAAGGTAACAACGAGGTGAGGTACTAAGATTATGCTTTGGCAGGGGGTTTGTGGGTTTGTTCTTGTTATAAATATTAAAAACCAGTTGAATATATTTTCCCTCCAAAATGCTAGCCATCGACTTCACCTCTTCAAAAGTTAGTGTACTTACAGTTCCTTCAAAGGCACAATCTTTACAAACTCCCTTTTTCAGATCAGTTGAGTGACCAACAATGCCCTTATAAGGAAAAAAAACAGAGTACTTCCAAAGCAGCTGGCATTCCTTATCTGCTACTAGCCAACTATTACCTCTCTTTTAATACCACATACCAATGAGAAAATTTTTGTCTTTAGAAGACAGTATTGACCGAATCGCCGGATAAAAATAGATTTCTAGTGAAAATCCCTTTAACTGCAAAAGTTGGGGTCCAAAGATTGGGGGATTCTGTGCTAGTGTTCTAGATTGAGATGAAAAATTGTTCTAATTGTGTAGCATTGTTACAGAAGAGACCTCATAGATTTAAGTAGAGTTTGAACCCGGTATTCTGGCTATTTAGTCTTATCATAATACAGTTTTGAGAGAAATTAAAAGAAAAGGCGTAATTTTAAACAAGCTTAATATATAGTTATGTTCTCTTTTTACGAGCAAAGATGTATGTACTTATACATATATGAAATATCATCATAGAGGGAGATCTATCTGTTTGTATAAATTTACATTAGGCGGGGTCACAAAAAAATATATAATTTTTCCTTATGCTTGAAAGTTATATTGACAGGACCTTAGAATTATACAAATATGTAGTTACTTCTTAATTTTATTCTAAATACACTCGAAATTGAAATTTAAAAATTATTCTTTTCTCTATTCTATAAATTCTCTATTATTCTCGAAATTCTTTCCATGAAGATAGTGCCTCTATATTCAACAAAATACTTACAAATGGCGTAAACAATGTAATCATTCTGAAAATATCTGAATTTCTGAGTTGCCATTATCCAAGGACGTATATTTTTTGACCGCGCGGTTGAAATGCTCTCAATAAGAACTCTAAAATTGGGGGTATTAGGACCGATCCGGTCTAATATATAATAATATAAAGC